GCAAGCACGTTGATGACGGCATCAATGCGTACCTAATGTGTGAGGCACCGATAAAAAGAAAAACGTAAAATGAAGCATGACGAAACGCTGACAAAAAGCACATGCTAGCTAAGCATTACAGCATCAGCAAATAGCAAGCTACAGAAGGCGAATGAAAGTGTGACAAAATGCTGCTGTAACATTCAATAAAATGCTGCTCAGTTACGACAATAAAATGAGGCTTTCAGGGCCCTCATAAGTGTGCAATGATGATAATGAAAAAGGAACAATTTGAAGAAACTTCCATTATGCAACACCTTGATATCCTGCAGGGCATCGAAAACCAGTAACACTCACTGCGCATACCAACGAGGCAGCCAAACCTAAGGTCCGAAAGTTATCGTATCGAAGATCCATCGTGCCAGCGTAATGCAATAAACAACAGCTGCAACAGTGAAGTCATAAAGAGATCATCGCGCATCAGCTACCCTTTGATATGTAGCAGTGAGGCTTTTCATTCCTCGAAAGCAGCATAAGGTGAACCGCATGCACTGCCTTGTCTTTTTCTTTTTGTTAAACCTATGCAGCAGCCTTGCAACAAATAACAGTGCAGTATGTGTACTGTGTCAACGCCTACACGAGTATGGAACAAAAATGCAGTACTTCGCTCGCTAATGAAGCACTGGGCCCACGTTCACGACTTCAACAGGTCTACAGCAAACCTTTTGCCACCACACCAGAAATATACAGTTCTGTGTAAAAAATACGCTAACGCTACAGACAATATTAAGATTGCACACACTATAACAGCATCCGATCGCTTCTCCTTTTGTCTGCATCAGCCTGCTTCACTCAAAATGAAAAAAAAAAAAGAGGGCATGGCAGTGTTACCATGTAAACACAGTTACTAAATATGAACATCTGTACTCAATACTGTAGACATAGAACAGGCTATCCGACAGTTGAGAGCTCACAGGTTTCCCACTCCCAAAAGCATGAACGCAAGTTCTGTACTAACGGCAACTAACACAATTCCACAGCAAAGTTCAACTGTACTGGTTGTTCAGCTGCCTATTAATACTTCATTGAAAGCGACACATGAGCTACAAGAGACGTCGTTAGGAGGCCAAAATACAAACTTCGATCATTCACAGATTATTCAATACACTTTTGAAGTAATTATTAACTTGGATCGAGCTAGTTAGTTGCACACAGTGTAACATTTAATGGTGCTAAGGCAGTAGTGAAACACTTATGAGTGCCAACAAGTGATAAAAAACAGCTGCTACAGTGCATTCACGAACTAACAGAATTCAGTTGTAATTATTGAAGTAGAAAAAAAAAATACAGCCCACTAACGTTCTTCCAGTCCAACACTCGTAAGGTAATTGAGCGCCTTAACAATCCCTCTTCTTCAAAATATTTTATAAAATATTGCACTAAGATTGAGGTAAACTTGACGCTACTATAATATCAGGTGAAGCAGGCCGTTGCAGCTGCAGTCGTTAACACGAGAAACATGTTTTCCAACAGTTCGCGCAGTGTACGAATGATGCGCGAAGAGGATGACATGAATCCTGAGCAAGAGCTGCTAATTATCTGGAACAAGAAACTGGCTCGCTCATCGCTAATTACAGCAACACCAACAATAAACACTCTCCATTAAAAGAGAAAACTAAAGAGAGGTCGCCCCATTCACACTGCCATTCGCAAGCAACAAAAATAATAATGACGAGAGTTACACGAGCGATGGTCACGCAGCAGTGCACAGTTAGCATGACGTGCCACTACACCACTCTTCCTTGGTTTCCACAACAAAACTGTAGACCAGTTTGCTGCTGCGATGACCCTCTGGTCTGGGCAAGCAAGGCGCTGCGGGGTCGGCGAGCAGGCGGTCACTCTAGCCATCCAACACCGTTTTGAATAAAGAAGTCCGCAAAGTCACTTGAAAACATACGGAGGCACTCTGGTGGTTGTGGAGAATCAATGTCGTTGCACCTGATCAAGTCATCATATTGCAGTGTGCGGAGGATAGAACTAGCATTTCGGCGCAGAATGAGGCTGGAAGAATGCGATGCTCTGACACTCTCTCGATACTGCTCTAGGAGGGAAACCTTCCACGATAGGGACAGCATGTGAGGCGCATGAGGGGGAAAATGATCTCCCTTCCTCCCCGCCCCTCGCAGTACTGAAATCACGAGCGCAGGAAAATGAGGATGTATATCTAGACAGGATTGGCGCTCTTTTAGCTGTTCATTTTTGTAGACAATAAGCAAATAAAAGGCATTTTTTGAAATGCATGCATGGCCCTTCTTTGCATTGCCATTACCTACAAGCACTTGGTATTTGGAGTGTTGGAGTACAGACCAAGGCAGAAACACATGCACACTGAAAGCACGTTAATAAAAAATACCTCCTGTATGCTCAATGTTAGCAGAAAATGAACGACTAAAGCAAATTGAACAGTTCAGCACCCTTCTTGCCTACATTTATGCTCACCCTTATCCATGGTAGTATATTAAAACATTTGCTCTATCACTGTTGAACATTCACCGTTGAGCATACACCAACCATCCAAATGGCAAGTAGCTCTCTCACCCTCCCAAACACTGCAACTCGAACAACGTGTGATTTTTTTTGTATTGCTATGCTTTTAGGATGAAGGGACACAAGTGCACGATATTCTGACTAAATTTTCAAAGCATGCATCCGTGAATGCTCGGTCAACCTTAAGTAGCTTACTAGGAATAAGAAGATCTTTACCTAAGCTAATCATAGGCATTTTTATGCAATTGTTTGTTTAAGCATAGGTTTGCTTGAGGGAAGTAATAATAATAGTAATAACATCTGGGGTTTAGTGTCTCAAAACCACCATATGATTATGACAGACGCCGTAGTAGAGGGCTTTAGAAATTTCGTTCACCCAAGGTTCTTTAACGTTACGTGCACCTAAATCAAGCAAATGGGCCTCAAGCATTTTCGCCTTCATAAAAAATGCAACCGCTGCAGCCGGGTTTCGATCTCACGACCTGCGAGTTGGCAGTTGAGTACTATCGCCACTCGGCAGGTGCTGCTCAAGGAAAATGTCAGTCTGACAGCATGTCATCAGTTTCAGGTGGGCGAGGGAGGGAGGTGTTGCTTTAAGAGCTTGTTCAAGTCCTGTTCAATCAGGTGGTGCATTGCCGTGCGTGGCAAAGCAAACCCATAAAGCAATAATTGAAGACTATAAAGCAATGTGCTTTGTGGAATGTTTTGAATTGGCATAGCGATATAGTCCTTGAATACTCTCGAGTTCCTGCAAGCAACAGCTGATATTTACTATGCTTTATGGCTTACTGTGTTAGCTATCTCTGGTTCATTGAAAGCAATGAAATATGTAGGCCAAAACAATGGACAGAGAATGCAACGTGATACACTTAAAAGCGAAGTCAATAAGTCTAGGCTGTCGAGCACCAACTATTTAGAACGTGCATTTATGCATTCAGAAAAGTTTCTGAAGAGCTGTTTGTTCCTGAGATGCCTCCAGAAGGCAAGCAAATCGTTGCTAAGGTGTTGCAGCGCCACTATTTTTAATTTCATGAAAACTTTCTAAACTATCAGAGAGTCAGTTGGTGGGATCTACAGGCTTCAAACATATCTGGTTAATACAAAACAAGGAAGATCTTGGATGAGACTAAGAAACGGATGGGACAGAACACTGTGTAAATTTCTTTACGCATATTAGAAATGTCTGAACGTTGCTGGACTAAATTGGACTGAATGAACAAACATAAATTGGCCTGTTTCTCAAGCTAATAACTCTGTTCACAGTGAGAGTGGCCCAGGTACACAGAAAATGCTGTTAAATTTACAACAATGACCTTTTTCCGCCAAGGAAATGAATGGACTATTCGACCAATCTAAATAGCATACTAATCGCTGTATGTTTATAAAGTAGGTAGTCTGTAGTCGATTTAAGCATTTTGGTGTTTTAGCTCACCTCATATTTCAAAGTTCAGCTGGTGCTTTCAGCGACACACTTGGATAGGACACCTGTACAACAATGACTATCTCTTGTTCTTAGACACGCTCTTTTTCCGAAGGCAGCTGCCATGGCCTGGCTTGAAGCAAGAACCTTTTATTTTATCTTATCAGATAACTTAAACTGTACCCTAAAAGGGAGTATAGTTATTACTAGAATATGCACAATTTTCCCAGTTCATCTGATAGAAAAAGTAGAACTTAATAACCCTGCATGATAATCATAAAACAAATGCTTAACATGAACAAAGTATGAGCAATGCCATCAAAGTCAACAATACCCAAAAGTGTTTCAGAATGAATCTGTCCACATGAAGATTTTTGTGACAGCAATAACGCATATTTAGCAAGACAATGATAATTTATATGGCTAACTCAATAAAAAGCTTACATACTAAGGTGTCACAAGACTTACAAGTCTTAATTCGAAAATTCTATTGTGATTTGTTTCACGATTATGCACTATTTACGGAATAGCAACATGAAACTGAAAGTTCCATACTTGATTTTTCAGGCCAAGAACAGTAGAACCCGATTCCTTTTCGAGTTACCACCAAAATAGCTCAATATAATTTTCATAAACTTTTTTTCAAGTTTCACATCATTACATTAGAACGTAACTATTTGTAACAAACCAAGAATTACGGAGGCCCTTTTAGACACCACCAAAATTTACAACACTGCAGTGAGCTTATGTGGTAACTTCGAAGCACCGTCACAATATTATTCTTGTGAATTTTCTGACTTGCCAAGCCCCATCTCACAGAAAGAGTGGGCTTCTTGCTACTGCAGATTAACTGTTCACTAATAATGAAGAGATCGTTTTTCTTCATTCTATGGGGTTCAGGGTCCCCAAGCGACTCGGGCTATGAGAGACTAGTGCTAGAGGGCTTCGGATAATTCTGGCTGCCTGGGGTTCCTTAAGACGCAGCTAAAAGGCACAGCACTCAGATTTATAGCTTCGTTAAAATGTGTCTTTTAAAATGTGTCTTCTGTAATTGAGTCTTTTGGGTCAGCAGCTGAGCACCGTAACTAACGAGCAATCACAGCAGCTCGTTGGCCCTTTTCTCTGTAGGGTCCCATTAAAGACTTTCATAGTTTCCTCCAAGAGAGAATAAAACTTTTGAGCTGGATTTCTAAAAGCCAGCACGAGAATGTGCCAAAGAGCATCGCATTCCTGCAGCCCGGTGGCATTGTTCTGCTCTTTCGTGGAGCACGATGGCACAGACGGCACAACTGTTGCTGTTGTCTTCACGATGCAGGACAGAGCGAGCGACTCTGCATGTGTGTGGCACAATGACAAATGGCTGGCTGATCGGAATGGCCATTCCCGAGCGGCTGTGACCACAGCTGCGGCGGCAACGAGGGTCACCGGAAGAGCAATAGTCAATGTGGGGTGCCGGCTCGTCAGTACACCCACGAGACCGGCACCCACTGAGGGCTGTTGTCCAGGGCCTCCAGCGTGGTCTCCAGAGTGTGGATGGTCTCCTCAATGTCGTTGTTCACCACCGTCAAATCGAAGAAGTGGCCGTACGCCTGGCGCAAGAGGTCGCTCTCCTTGGCTAACCGCTCAAGGCTCCCGTCAACCTGCCACGGATTTGCTCATATGATAATGCTGACGAAAGTAGCAGACTGGTAATATTTATTTGCACAGTGAGTGGACATCGATATAACGAGAAAATAAAAAGGCCTTGCCTTACTACACATAATGACGCGTACTTAGCAAGGCCTTTTGGACCAACAGTTTGGTATTCAGCCTGCATGTACCTATACAAGTGAAGAACAATGTAGCAAAAAAAAAAAGAATGTTTGTGTACAGGATAAAGATGGGGAACATACAAGCTAATCTTTTGAATACCCGATTCAAATAGTACATATATATGCATACCTATCACTGAAAAACCACAAATGTAGCATAGAGAAGCTCCTGATTAGATAGGGTGGTAGAGTGTATACCCCAAACAAGGATGAATTCTTTTTCAAATGGAAGCTTGCTTTCTTTAGAAACCTGTATGAATTTTTCTTTGCGGCTTTTTTCTACAAATGGGTGGACGACAATTTTTTTATTGGAAGCTATAAACAAAAAGGAAGTGTTAAAGTAGAAAAGAACTTATGATGAGGCTGTAACTAAAACCAAGCATTTCGAAACAGTGGTTAACCATAACTTAACGAAACCAACTGGAAGTGGCTATCATGCCGCACTTATTCTGGTATCTTTCATACTGCACTTCATAAATTATGATCAATTATGCTAATCTCTTGATATTCACTTTAGGGCCACGTGCGCTTCGATATGTTGAAGGCATTTCAAAACGACTGATTCAACGTTTCGTGGGAATGTACATGCTGCATGATGAATATTTTTTGCAGTGCTTTAAGAAAGCCTGAGAAATATGAAATAAAACTATGCGATCAGGTTTATGTGTTTTGATTGAAACAACCACACATTCAGTTGTTTTGTTCGAATATGCATAAACTCGCAAAGCTTAATTAAATATGATTCCTCCTACAGCCTAATCTTACTACAAGTTGCTTTCAGAACAAAGCTGTGGCATCCACAAAAATAGTACTTACGTCATGCATAGATGTTAAAGATGGTGCTGCTATGAAGACAACGTATGGTGAATATTCCCCAGAGCGAAGAATCTTCAGAGCCTAGAAAGAAAAAAAATAAAACCAATGAAGCAGCCAGCATCAGCATTTTTTTATCTCAAACATTTTTTTTCTAAATAAGGCTATAAAAGCAGCATGGTTGTGCAAAGAGGCATGTAGCACCCATCACGATCCTATCTTTTTCTTGGTTCTCAGTATACCCACTTTACATTTTACATGCTACCATTAGTCTGAACAATAAGATGAATACACAATTGCGCCCACATATGACGGCCCTACTTAAAACGAACTTTCGTTTAAAACAAACACTACCAGTGCGACCATAGAAATACGCATTATGTCAATGGCACGAAATCGCACTTACATAGAACCTCTCTGAGAGCTGCCGATCGGTTACAGCCAACAAAACCAGCGCTCCGGTGACTTCCCGGGATACCACTTTCAACTACTGATAAGCCATTGGCAAGGTGCCCATAGATTCTTATTGTTGAATGCTGACCCTGCTTTCGCAGCTCTCTAATTGTCGCTGTCCCAGACCGTTTTTTGTTGCGCACCTCTGTCCTTTGTCTTCCCACAACTTTGAGCACCCTGCATCACTAGAGCAGGCCCGTGTTTTCTCACTGCCACTAATATTTTGAAGACTGGTCGGCTGACTACTTCGCTGTTTTCGATCACTCGTCTTACTGCAGCATTGTTGGCGACCATCTGCCAACATCGTCGGCCGCCGATTGTACCCGATCATTTGCATCTGTGTCTTGCCTGGATCGGTGTCGTATCGTTCCAATGCATGCGCTTGCGCAGCCCATTGACTTTGATAATTCGCGATTCGTTCTATGTTTAGGACGTTTTTCGCTCGCTTCACACTCTGCTCAGCACGCCCTCCGCACGCGTATAGAAGAGTAAAAACGGCTGTTACACGAAACGAATTGCGAATTACGTAAGTTGGTAGGGCTGCGGAAGCCCGCCAGCACCACAAGACAATCCTTTGACCTCTGTGCACGCAGGGCATTTTTCTAAGTTTTCCTAAGCGCGAGTTGTGCGCTTCATAAAGCTTCCAAGCAAGCTACTCGACCTGTCTTTTCCTGCATGTTTTGGTTTTCAAGTTCGCCTTCCCGCTGTAAGCTCCCCTCTCTTCACTCTATCGCAACTCTTTTGCCTGTTTCTCGCAAGTCTGCTCTACCCTTTTTATGGCAAATCCTTCGACCATCTCCATGCTCCACAACGCCAGCCATGCTGGCCTGAGTTAAGATGTTTTTTTTTCTGGCTAGAAATGGGCCCAAAGCAGTTCCATGCATCCTGGCTTGTATGTCGCACATGCTTGTATGTCGCACATGCTTGCCTTGCTCGCTGTTGGTGTACGTGTGTGGCCAGGATGGTGGACACCCCTTCCGCGCCTTTTCCTGCTGCTCAACACAACGTGGAAAGTGCAACATCATGGCTTATTATAGGCCCTGCATTGTATAGCGCTTGCTTATAGCTGTTAACCACCCAACAGTCAACTTGCCGCTTTGGGTGTCCCTAATTCGGCTGTGGAGATGGTGAAGGACTCGTGGACAGCGGTGTGCGAAACTGTTTTTGCGAGGCCGATTTCATTAACGTCGCACCCGATGCCGAGCCTAGAGCTTTCAAACAGGACCACTCCGGCGGCGATTTGTGGCAGCACACCGTCGACTCCGACATGGGAGGGTGGGACATCTTCTGGGTTGATTTCATTACGGCCGATGATGATGATGACGACACAGCAGTACTGTGCACAGATGAGGGCGTTGTGAATGAAGTGTGCAGCAAGAGCGATTTGGAGCGATCAAACGATGACGACGGCAAAACTTTGGAGCCAGTGCCCACAAGCGCACCTGTAGCAACTGACTACATTAGTAGCCTCAGGCACCTTGTATATGCCAAAAGGCCTTAGCAAAAAGCACGCTGCCACTTTAAATAAACTCGAGACTAACCTGATCGCTTCTGCTCTTCGAAACACATGCATTAAAGACCTTTTTGAGAAAAAAAAAACTGTGTTTTCATTTGCAACTTTTTTAAAGCTTTGTTTCATTTACTATGAACTACGGGATACAGCAAACCGTTGCCGCGTCACGCTCAGGTTGGTTATAAGAAGGCTCGACTGCTCGATATTATTTCCTCAGCCTGTAATCACCCTAAGAGTAGAGGCATACACCGCCAGAGAAAAATCAATCATTCTAAGCCAGAGAAGAACCTTCAATGACCGTTGCTGCAAAACAGAAGCGCTAGTTCCCATGGCTGTCTGCACAAGAACACCAACCTGTGGCTCGACGTCGAGGATGGCAACTTTCCCCTGGGCATGGATCTTGCGGATGGTGTCCAGCTTGGTGCCGTACATGGCATCCTCATGGGTGCCGTACTCCAGGTACTCGTGCGACTCAATGTCCGACACCATCTCCTCATGCGACACAAAGAAGTAGCTGCGCCCGTTCTCTTCACCCTTGCGCGGAGGACGCGTCGTGTCTGCAAGGAATGGAGATTTGTGTCAGGTACAAGTCCTATATTGCAAGCCACTGTACAGCTTGCACAGTTGACTCGACATTTGCGAAACTGCGATGAATTACAAGAAGAGTTGTACAACTAACACCGACAAAATTCACTTTTGTTTTTTGCTACATCAAGTGCCCTGTACAGGTCAACCCACTACTTTACATAAGTACAAAATGCTGCAGCATTATAATAACTATATACGTGGTTGTTTGTCTTGCGGGTCTGGGTGCAGTTGAAGGGGACAGCATATCGTAAACAGGATAGCATTAATTAACTCGTTTGAAAGAAATTCCAGCGTTGGCAATAGTGCCATTGGTTATGTGCAAAATATCATCTTGCCCGGGACCGAAGAATTGAGAAGGATGCAAATAAATTAATAATAAAAATGTTCGGTTCCCAGTGAAAATTAAACCCAGGCTGCTGCACAGAAAACAGGTGTTCTACCCCAGAGCCACGCTATGTCTTGAAACTGCTTCGGGAAAAACATTAAATGAATGTCGTGTGCTGGAAGAAGTCTCCTCAATGCATGTAATAATGCATGGCAGAAGCATAGAAGTGCACCAGGCATCAAACACGTGAACTGCACAACAAGTAGGCGCTCTAAAGGCTCACCTGATGCAAAGGACAATTATTTATTCAGACATATTTAATCATCATCAGCAGCAAAAGTATCAACAAAGTGAACCGCTGCGTAGGTTAGCGCGTTGCCTCACGGATGTATAGTGGGTCCTTCGCTGATTCACAACGAGGAAAAATTATGCTGTAGTAGGCACTATGCAGCTGTACCTGCAGTAGGCATTCTAAGATTGTTTGAAATAACCAATGTTACACGGACAGTCTTACATTTTATTACGGCACTATTGAGGCATGCACCAAGAGCTGAAACTAGGCTAGCATTTGAGATAGCGATGCAGTCAAGGCCCGACTACTCTATCGTATTCCACACTTGAAGGCGAAGCTCAAGTGTGCTCCAAGTTGCTGTCACCATTAGCACAGGTCAGGCCACTGCATGCTGAAGTCATTTAGGAAAAAGTATAAAGTTGTCTGCTGAACTTTTTCTGTGTTTTAGAGCTTTCAGCAAATGCTGCATACATGTGGGCTGCTGGTAAGCAAAATATTCGGGACTAAAGTAACTGAACTGGCATAAGTTTCTGTGTTGTAACTAAGCAATAGAGAGAGAAATCAACATTATTTTGACCAGGCTCGTCGTATGTTAGCCCTAAGGAGGGTGGCCTCCTCAGTTCATGTAGCCATAGCTCGTAGTTCACCAATCGTAGCAGGTTGTCAGGGTCTCCCATCACTAGCACAACCTCCCAGAGGCCTTCGAAATCGTTCTCTGGATCCGTTTCTTTCTCTTCGTTTTTGATTACAGTAGCTTTTGGCGCGAAATAAACACGAGAGACAGACAAGTGCAAACTATCAACTGAATTTATTCGAAAGGCACACACATATATACATGTCAACAAAGTCACAAGTCATTTTAGCAGAAAATAAATCCCATTAGTGGTAAGCGCTCAAATAATCTATCTCAGTGGCATGCAACGTGATAGAGGACCTCACTACATATGTCTCACCCAATCTGTTAATAAAATATGCTCCCTCAATTTGTCGTGCGACTTTTCCTTTTATTCTTGCGAGCACATAACTTTCTGATAGCAAGGGTGTGCAGCCTCTCTCCTTGCAATGCAAAGAAAAATTACAACAAGGTGTCCCTCTAAATCAAGCCTTATAGTCTAACACACATCGTCCTGTCTGCCCGACATGGCATTTTCCACAAGATAATGGTGTATCATAAGCTACCTTTTTGCCACACTCGACTAATTTATCACGGTGCTTGATGTCGCACCCGTGGTCCCGCTTGCTCTGTCCTGATAACTTCTTACCTACAGCCACATAAACCCAGCCAAGCTCGTCTGCAGCAGAAAAAACCACACTAAATCCGAACCTCTTCCCAACTTTCTTCAGCTTATGGGAAACCCCGTGAACATACGAAATGCTTACAAAAGAAGACCCTTCCTTCCGTTTTACTTGGCTTACACCCCGCACTTCCAATTTCATCTTTTGCAAGACCCTTTTGCTTAGGACCCCTAATTGGCATTTTGGGAACCTAGACTGCTGAAGCCCCTCAATCTGCTGTGCAAAACTCTCTTGCAGTCGATGTGGGCATGACTTTTTGAGCGACGCTCCAAGACAGGCCATTGCAACACCGTTCTTTGCTATTTTAGAGATACCCGAATAGAAGTCGATGATAGGTTTGACACTATGGGGGGCGTACATCCAACATACGTGGCTTCCACCAAAAGATGTGCTCATATCCAAAAACTGTATGCAACCATTGTCAGGAACCTCACAGGTAAACTTCAGCCCTGACCCCAACTCTTTGAACACCTTTAAAACATTTACACATTAAAACGCCTTTAGTACATACACACTGACAGTCCTCAATGAAAAACATGTAATCGTCCATGTATCTGAATATTTTCACCACCACTAAGTCCAATGCTGTCTCTAGGCCACGGTCAACAACACTCAGAAATATTTGACTCAGTACAGATCCCCAACTTCTGAGCGTAAAAGCACCCCTTCTACCCAATAGCATTTGACCCCAGGTACACCGACAGGAGCTCAAAGAAGAAACTCGTACATGCGCTGCACTTGCCCTGAAACCTTTGTTCGTAATTATCTTCTTGAATGCAATTTTTGACGCACACCAGAAGTCTGTCCTGTGGCAATGAATAGAAGAGGTATTTTACATCTACACTAAACCCTGACAGTACCTTTACGGAACCTTCCATCAGAAACCATGCCACTTCCTCTGAATTCTTCCCCCAGAAAGGGTCCGTCATACAGAGGGATGTCAGATGCTTCAAAAGAAATCCAGACACCTCACGCTGCCGAGTCCCACGCTCGGAAACAATAAGGCAAAAAAATGTTTTCAGCCTTATGCGTCTTCACTGTAAAAAACATGTCTGACATGGTGCATTTCACTTCCTTCACCGCTGAGCACAGACTATCAAGTTTCATCTCTTGCATATGCGCGACCGCTTTCTTCTTAACATTCACCGGCCTTTCTGCAAATGCCTTAAGGTGCTTTTTTACCGCTGCTTCGGCTGTCACCTGGAACAGCCCCTTCAACGGGAGAGCAAAGGTTCCTTCCTTATCTGCTACGAGGGGCCTGATCTTCCTCTCGTCGAAATAGTCGACTAAGCCGCGTGTGTTTGTCACGAACCCTCGAACAGGCATTTGCGGTTTCTGCCTCGCAGTCACAATGACCCCTGCACACTCAGCAATTCAACGAGCCTTCTCCGCTTCCGGTACCCGATCCGCCACCATTATTCCCATTCCCGAAGCCTCAGCTGCTTTCAGGCAGGGCTCGAAACAATACTTCGACCCGAGTTCCAACGTCTTCCGAACTCTCTCATCATCCACAACAGCTTCTCCCAACGCAACGACTTTTTGCAGACTAGCCACCTCCTTCTTCCTCCGTGGCAAGGTGGGGTGCACATTATTCCGCAGGTATTCAGTCACACGATACCTTGTTCTTGTCTATTTCTGTTACAACGGTGGAGGTGTACCACTTCCGACCTAACCACACACAAACTGAAGACAATCGTGGTACAACCAAGCCTCTCGCCACCATTCCGACAATAAGATGTGGCAAATCCGTCTTGAGTGGGACGGTGAAGGTTGAAGCCATCTACAAAGCAATGCTACATCAGGCGGGCACTCTTGGTACTGGACATGCCACAAAACCGTCCTAGCACGGCATACGCACACCGCATAAAGGCCACAAGGACAGCCAGAATAGTTAACAAAAGGTTTAAACGAGAGGTTTATCGTAAGAATGAACCAACTCGCCCAACAAGTCACTCGGCTGTTTTTACTTGGCGGTGACGACGGTGGTACTCCAGCACCATGTGGTGTAGGGTGCTGCGTGTTTCCAGAGGGCAAAACTTGCATTTCTGCCCGAATGTCCCTCAATACATTGCGTGCATCAATGTTCTGTGTGGGTAAGTTCCGGCTCGTAGTCTTCTCCAGGTCACTGCTTGCTCCCGACTCAGACTCTTGTGCGCCGGGGAATACCACTTCCTCTGCTTCCTGTAATGCGCCAAAACGTCTGAGTGCTTCTTCAGTATGTGCTCATCCTCATCGTGAGAGCCGTCCGTACGTGTTCCCAGCATGTCGAAGATGGCTCAACGTGCATGATTTCAAGCCATCCCATGAGTGACTCATGTCTCAGTGTGTAGGGGATGGTTGTTTCATCTGTTGGAATGCACCACTAGGCCGAGCTGGGTGGGCAGGTCACGCAAACAAGATCAGCCACATGCATCCAAAACAACAACTGAACTTTTATTTCATTTGAAGTGCACAAAGAAAAATCATGTGGTTCCTTGTGCTTGTGCTGTTGGCATTCACACACAGAAGTGCCGTTTCACGGCACTACACGTCTATCTTGGTGCTTTCTAAGACATGGACTGCTGCCTTTTCGATACTTCTATTGGTGTACCTTCTGCACACCTCTTATGAGTACGTTATCACAATTGGCCGCGAGATCGAGCAGAGTCGCTGCCTGGCGGCAACTGGCCCAAATGGTGAAGTGTGGATTGCTCCTTGCATCGTCTGCTAGCCATGTCGTATTTATATGTGTGCGTACATCATGCACATTCTCAATGTGTGGTTTGTCCAGTCATGTCAGCGCGAGTGTAACTGTTTCTACGTATGCCTGAAATGACGTACGAAAGCATTTAGTCTTGCTCGGCTGCTAATGCATTATAATAAGATCGGCGAGTGGAATCCAGAGTGCTGTTTATTGTGGTCATACCCTCCATTCACCAGAATAATTTCAGAGTGGGTGCCGTTTTCTGTTTCAAGCACATCGCAAAATGCTTTTGGTATCCTCCTAAACATGAGGACTATTAAATTCCATGTGAATGCAGCATTTTATAGTGACTCGGTTGTAAAAAATAAAAAAAAAAAGGCTCAAGGTTATGCTCTTCTGCTCTGCTGGTAGGTGTGCAACTACAGCACTGTAGTTTATAGATCATGAGGAGCTTTAGTTGTGTTTATCTGACCGTGGTACCACTACATAAAAATATTACTTTCATGTAAACTGTGAGACTTCAGTACTTGCACTGTACTTAAAACAGAGTTACCGTGCGCAACTGTGTGCTTAAATTTAGGAACGCTTTAAAGAGCCCAGAGGTTGAAAAATAATTCAGACGGCAAGCCTTACATATAATGTGTAATTTGCCTGAAAATTTCATGTTTTTTACATTGTCTTCAGCATTTGTGTGGCATTGTTAGTGACCGACGAAAGGCAGTGATAATTTTTTGTCTGGAAAAAAAAAAAAACATGCTTGTCCCATTAACCAGGCTATATGCGTACACGTGGTGAACGTAGTGTAGCGCAAAGCACTGTCAACCCCTAAGCTTTCCTGGCTACACTTACCGACTATCCCACATTTCATGGTGAACAGAGTGAGAGAAAAAACATTTCATGCGTATAAGGTGCGAACGGTGAATGCGGGCTTTTGACGATCTTTCTTTCTCGCCTTTTTGTGGTATGCAAATGACAAAGATGTAAATAAGAAGCTTAGTCATGCTACAGCAGTGCGTGGCAGGCGGAACACAAGCTAACCATGTACAAACAACACAGCAAAGGCATAATTTAGTGCGAAAGCATGAAGAGAGTCACACAAGGCGAGCATGCCTATGAAAGGCAGAATGTGTTTTACTCGCGAGTAATGTTAACGTTGCATAGGTGTCGTGCACCGATTCAGTAGAGAAGAGCGTAGATATTAACAGTAAACTGTAGTCAATGCATTTTATCCACCAAAAATTGGCTTAGACCGCACGCAACGAAGCGCTGCTGCGTGTATTTGTATACGTGCCACCAACTGCCTAGCCACACCTGCGTGGGACGCTGCTGCCACCTATAGCCCGATCTTGCCGTGAACCGCCCGCGCCCTCTTGCATGTAGCGATGGCCAGGGCTCTGCCAAGCTCTTTCGCTGTACTCGCATCCTTGGCACGTATGAATGTTGCTCTCAATTATTTACTGTTTTCGTTCACTACGCTTGTAGCAAAACGGTCATTTGTAGTGTACGCCGCTGCATCCGTGTATCTCAGGTCTTCTTCATTGCTGTAATAACTTTTCTTTCAAACAACTATCTCTCCAGGACCTTATAGTGCTTTTGAATTAGGTGAACCTAATCAAACAAGGTCAAATGAAGGGGCGTTGAGTGCAGTTAGAGCACCAATAATATGTCAAATCTACACAAATGATTGAAAAGCTATTCCCACATCGCACAGTACCTACAAAGGGGCATCTCTAACATGCAAGTGCTGGACACTTTAACAGTAAAACAGATAATACGCATAGGAACTTAAACTGGCTTCAGCACTAGTAGCCTATTTCAGCAAGTTTTTTTGTCGACAGTGTCAAGCATTAAATGCAGTGCAAGACATCCAGGTATAACAGCACTGTAAATAACAGATGTATGCTTCTGTCTTTAAACATTAGAAGACTTTTCTACTAAAGCATTCTAACCTTTGGAAAATCACCTGCAAAGCTTTTTTTTTACCTGTACTTTTCTCTGACATGGTCTGTTTTTTTAATTTTCTAACAGGAATGTGTCAAAGCTCCTAGCTACACCTCTGTACATCTTCCATTTTGTATTTTATTTACACGCTTTCATATACTACAGTGTGCATTAGAAATTGTCCAGTTCCTCCTGCTGATGATGTCTCTACATAGTAAATGTCATCCCCAAGTTACACTCAAACCTCCTTGTAACCAAGTTGCATCTTACATAAATAAAAGTCTGTTAATATGTGAAAATTTGTAATAAAGGTATAGTACACTCAAACCTTATTATAAAAAAGTTGCATTTTGCAAGAAAATAAGTTCGTCATATTTGAAAATTCGTCATACCTGATAATCCCAACATGGCATGAGAAACTAAGGTAGCAAATATACGCTGCTGCGCCTTCACCGTCTCTGTCGTTTTATGTGCCTTGTTCTGGCCCAGATGTAATTCACTACTCACGTGGAATGGGATATGCATATTTGTTTGGGTAGCTGGCGATGAGGGTGTTTTTGATGTGCCTCCGGCCTACACCGTGGGCTCCTGGAATGAAAAATTTCAAATAAACATGTGTGACAAAGCAATTTTCTCATTATGGTTCTCAATATACGCAGTGTTGTAATTGATGCATGTAATTCTTCAGCGCTCTTATTTAGGATCCTGATTTCACAACAAGCTCAACAAGCTTGATTAAGTTGTAAAAGTTCTCTTTTTTCAAGGCCTTCATTTTTTACTCTAGTTATTTACAAGACTGTGAAGTAGAGAGCATATGCAAACTGAAGAAGTGACATAAAGCAAAGTTACAACTTTCACAAGAATGTGTGTGAGCTTCTCCTCAACCTTGATGTCATTTAAGGTGTTACCTATGCCTAGTTGCATTGTGCTTATGTAAAGCTACACAAAGGGCACAAATATGAGAACACAAATGATTTACACAGAAAGTGCGTAAACTATTTTTTTTAAACAAAATAATGAGTGAGTACAGGCAGCATTGGGTGAAAAAGTATCATCATATCAGCCACGAAACAAATAACAGCAGTAATACCCTACATTTGGTGGGAATGTTATGAATTGAAATTCAGTGCTTAGTACTGCAGTATACCCTGAGGTTCTACCTAGCGGTCCAATTTATCTCTTGAAAGAAACACTGACAGTCATTTTTCTTTAAGAATTGTCGTCCTTCTTATCACAGAAAAAATGCTGGTAAATGTCAGATAACTTCACGCAACGTAAAATGATACTTCTTCAAGGCCTATTCCATTCCTGCGAATGCTTTATGACTACAGGATGCTAACCCAACCAGAAATCCTTTTATAAGCGAAATTATCACTCTCAGCTTTGCTGCTATATAACATCTACAAAATTACCTGTCACGACGTCACAATAATGCTGATAATGACTCTCAAGTAGAGTATTTCAAGACAAATTTTAATGAGGAAATAAAATTGAACTATTTTCAAGCTTCTCAACTTCCTAAGTGTTACCTTATAATGTATGAGATACATGTAGCTTCAACCATTTTAAAAGTATGTGGCACCTGCCCCCAAAATTTCTGACTCCAACTGCCACACTTAATGAAATCTAGATGCATAACACTAGATAATAATAAAAAAGTATTAGATATTGAACATAAACTGACAGTGAAATTCAAAGTCCACACACCACTGTAGAAATAGTACTGCCACGACAGCGGTGTCACACGCTAACCTGCGACGGTCTGAGCCGCGCACATGTGACTGCAGTGCTTACCCAGTAGGACGAGTGTTTTCCGATGAAAGGATGGGAGCCGGACAACTTCCTCATAGGTGACAACATCCAGCTGATCGAACGCTGCGTTGTGCTTGGCCAGGTACTTGTCCTTCAGGTGCTTCTTCTTGCGGCCGAAGATGGAGCAGTTCACTGCAAGTACGGACGCGGATAACTGATGCAGAACTCCGGCAAGAGCTTCAATATGAGAGAACCTGAAGATAACTGGCAGTTGAGCCTTCTTACGACAAACTTCTGCCCAGCAGAATGACACTTTCACTATAGCAGTATGATATTTATCATAAGCAAACATTCCTTACAAGGCGACGCCAGCTAGTAACACTTTATATTTATTAATAGTGCAGAAAGGGGTTTCTAAAGGCACGTTTTGTTTGACAATCTTAATGAAAGCTGGCAGATAAAGAAGCCGAGAAATGTACATGGCTCTTTAACTGTGCTGTTTAAAGTGCAATGTAGCAATAGTGATACAGACGCGAAAAAAGTAACCTTTGAATTGGGGGCCCGAGCACTGGGCATGCAATCCGAATGTTGCAGATTCAGTCTCTGCCGACAACAAGATGTCTTTCTGTTCACATCACTGTCTTCAGATCTATATCACAAATACTACAATATATAAAAACAGCACAATTAACACCCTTTGGCTTCATTAACTGCTGGTTTTCATCAAGGTTATATTTGTATTGCTGCATCCAGTCAATTGCTATGTATGTGGTCGTCATACCGAGGTTAGGCCATAAAAGCAAGATTTTTCATTTTTACAAAATACTGCTATCGGGTAAGATTTAAATGAAGTACTTTTTGCATCACACAGTTTCACAGAGTTGCGAATTGAGCACTAGAAGTGACTGAGCCATCAGCTGATATGGATGAATGTAAACATACAGGTACCAATACATTCAAATTAGTATGCTCGTGCGAATAGTAAGTTCTAGGTTCGAAAACAAATTCGAGGCCAATAGCGATATGGTTTGAATAATCTTGAATCAAATTCCAATAGTATATATCACATTTCATGAAAAAAAAAATGAGTGTATATGTCATAACCCCACTAACCTACACAAATATATATATTTCTTAATTTTAAACAATGGATATGTCATTCTTTTTCGTTCAAAGAAAGCGGAAGCAGGGTTTGATTTTCGGTAGAATGCTTGTGATAACCTGTAAAATATGACATGTTTCAGAATTTACTATACTCTGAGCATAAAAGCTGGCATTACAAGCTTTTAAACTTGAAAAAGAAAGAATCGAAGTGAGTGTGGAATGTCCATTTAACCTTGAAATGGTGTTTTGCGGCAGTGCTAATTTTACCTGGAAAGGTGTGTTCATGGTACAGCACTCCTCCACTGCTGTAAAACCATTTTCAAAAAGGGGTTACGTACGAACTAATAAACACCAACTTGTTCATTTTGAATACTACAAAATTAAATTCGAATCAAAGCGAATGCAAATACGTTAATATTCATTCAAATATTTGGAAAGCTCCATTATGTGCACAAGCCTACAAATTAGCACAAACTAGCTCCCTGATAATCTGGATGAAGGCCCATCTCAGTACAAAAGCTTACGAGGCAAAGTGGCTGACAGTCTTATTAAAGGGACAACAATGCCGTCAAAATGTGCTACATCGATAAAATGACCCTATCAGCACTCACAATACTTATCCAGTAAGAAAGAAAAGATTCCATAGTACCAAAGAACATAATCAAACTTGTGCCCCGTGTAGCTTTTCAAGCTTTTCAAGTTGCCAGTGATGAAAGTGGCTAGTGCCTTTCCAAGCAGAGTCTGTCGCTTGATGGGAAACAAGATCGAGTCCTTTCCATACCCCCTTGGTCGTTCTTGGCGTGTTCCATGGCGATGCAAGCCATCCGCCACTCCTGGAGTTCGGGCGACGGAATAAGCCCGGCCGTACCGTCGGCCGTCTCTTTCTTGGCCTGCCACCAGTTGTGGTCGTCTTTGCCGATCACCTGTTGACCGCCGGGGAAGGCAAAAGGAAGGAGGGAAGCACGACAGGTGTGCACATGTTTTTTGAAGGCTCACACAAATGTGCTACTTTATATCTCTCATAACAAAAGGCTACACCAAGGCACAGGTAAAACAACGTTGACGAACGTGAAAACAATTTATTCAAATTAATTGTAATGTGATCATATAGAGGAAATACATATGAATTTTCTCAGAGAGAAAGCCGCCCAGTAGATGGAAAAAATTCTGTGGGAGTTGAATTCTTTGTAACATTTGGAAGAGAAAGCCTGCTTAGCTCTTGTAATGTTACGATATACAATCGAAGACCATACTTTTGCAATAGAGAGTGAGCCACAGTGTTACAGACAAGCATCAAATTGACATCCTCCACTGATCGCACTCATTGCTAGACCCACATTTCTAGCTAATGAGCATATAACTATCATCCATACAGCGGCATACTATTTCTACAGCATATAAATTTATACTCACTCACGTTTCACTATAAATATAATTGTTACGCCACCCTTAAAGTCTGCGCATGGAACTGCATTTTTTTCTCATTATCATGTCTTTTCTAGTGCTATCAAAGTAAATTAGCAGCTACATGTACAATAAAGGACTACCATGATTTCTTAGCCAGCAAAAATAATGCACGGCTACAGCAGCAAGAGATGCAAATGAAAGAGGTCGCTTAAATACAGCTACGACCTTCTAAGACATGCTATATGTGGTCTAGTATAGCTATGCTACAAAAGAGAAGTAAAAGACTATAAGTGAGTGGGTAATGTCAGGTGCCGTAAAAGAAAAAGACCTGTAGAATGTCTCCTGTCTGGAATGCAATGCCAGCTTGTGCACATGGAATGAGATCATCATCCAAAGGGTTGTAGTCGAACAGGGCACGAACGTATATCTGGAGGAAAGACAAGAAAACACGCAATGCCATCGTGAGGCTGTGGGAATGAGGGTAACGAAAAAAGTTTGGCACAACTGCACCGCTATTGCATAGTGTTTACTAGCAATCCAGCAACAGATTAATAAAGCCGTAAGAGAAGCATCCACTCATCAGGCACAATCAGCAGTAAGAAGGCCCAGAAAGCAGGCACATTTTAAATTTTGTTTTCGATTTATATTTATCCAAGACCCAAAATGTCTCTATATGGATACCCAAATGTCTCCATAAACATATATTTTCAAGAGGAATGCAGTAGCAGTGGCAGCGGCAGAAGCAGAGCAAACTCCACAAGCAACCACATTATTAACTTCGCTTTCTCAAATGATTTTCCTTTATCAATGCCCTTTTCACTGAAAGAGCAACTGACCAAAGGACTAACAAATAGATTAAATGATTGATGCATTGATCAAATTATTCACTGGTAGTAATCGATTGCTAGAAAATGATGTCCCAAAGCAACACAGAACCCTTGAGATGATGGAAAGTTTCATGTCATTTCTGACTGAACAGGTGTCCTTGGAGATCACCCGAACTTCATTACAAGTTATTTTTGCATTCCATCTTACAAAAGGCAAGCAACAAAGCCAAGTGGTACTCAAGTGGTACTTCTTTATGCCCTGGCTCGCCTATATTGTTACTCTACTACTCAACCTACCAGGCCAAAATACTAGTTACTAGTGGCTATTAGCTTCTCTTATAGTTTATTGTTGGTTAGCAGCACTACCAATGAAAACATTGTAAAGAGCTTTCCTTAGGATGACGTACACAAGGAGCAATGAAACATGCCGATACTGATGTCCAAGAATCTGTAAGACTCATGGTGACGGCGAAGCATTAACAATAGAGGCAGGAGCCAGACATGAACATTTATTTGAATCGACAGCCTCTTACATGCCTTAAACGGGCCCTGCAACACTTTATGAACATGTTCAAAAAACACTGCCAATCAGTAGTAGCGGCTCCCGACAACCTGCAAGCCAAATATAATAGCGCAACACGCGGCCTGGAATTCACTATAAATTATCAAAGTCAGCTAAAAATTGCTTTCTCTTCTCTCGACAATTGACTGAAGATGCTTAAAAATCACTCGTAGAAGGCCTTCTATCAGCTATTAGCTGATTAGAACATGGTGTGCTCGGCCATTACAGGGACCGTCGCGGGAGGCCGCGACTTTTCCATGCATGCGCGCGCGATTACGCCGCGTATTCCAAGAAAAAAAATCCTCAATGTCAAGAGGCATGCCTGATGTGTTTTCTCTGCCCCTCCCATCCCTTCCTGCTTTGCCTCTAGGGCTTTCGTCGGGATGAGAGAAGAGAGAATGCGATAGCAGCATCTGACAAACAAATCTTTGTAACTCCGCTCGTACTAGACGGATTCGTGCGGTGTTGAATCGGTGAGGCAATAAGCTTTCTTAATGAAACCATTTCATAGCTACTCGAAAAAGTGTTTCAGGGCTCTTTTAAGCAGCTAAATCTGGCAAAGATCATGGGTAGGTGCCTTATATATAGCACTCATTCATTTAAAAGATTTAAACCTGTCCAGAGACCCTATCAAGAATGAAGCGGTGAGATGAGCCACAGCCACTTTCAGAAATAAATGCAAGCTATGCTATAATTATGATAAATCTCTTCATGCCTTTTGTGGCACTGACAGAGTACAGATGATCTAAATGAGTTAGAATTTGCTACACCCTGATGCAATCTTGCCTCACGTGTTCAGAGTGTTGCAAATCCAAGAAAAACTACATCACGTGGTGTTTGTAAGCTCACATGTGATGCTTCTTTATGTCACCAAAACTGGAAGGTAAAGTTTTTATTTTCTGCACTTTACATAGCTCATTGGCTCAGGAATTTACTACCAGTAGACTAATAAGCAGGAATGCCAAAACAAGCAAACATTTAACAACTCGCACTCCCTGACAATACAGCCCATGACAAATATGTGCTTGCTCACTATGTGTTTGGCCCTAAAAGCTACAACACACACAATACAGCATTCTTTACATGCACATAACAGGAAATGGAAAGGCAGGCAAGACAACAAAGAGAAAGTCAAAGGAGATGACGATACAAAACAACACACACACACAAGCATAAAAATTATACACAAGTGCCCCATTGTTAACAGCTGTCTTACAGGCACTTTACACCTGCCAAGTCTTTACGACCTCGGTATAGTTACTATAAGCTGAAAAGGCAAAAGCCCTTAAAAAGCCCCATGACTAGTCTTTTTGTAATCAACGAAACAGTCATGCAAAGTCAGTGTGTGACGCCAGCTATTTTAACAGGTGTAGATTTACTTAGTGATCATAACCCCACGTGTATAAAAAAATATTTTACATACCGTCCCAAATTTCTGTTTTAGTCAGTATGAAATTCAGGGCAGAACTTGATGCAAGCTTGAATAAAGACTAATACAAAATTAATAGATATTAAATCACCCCACATAATGTTCTTATCCAAGAGAATAAAGATCCAAAATTATTAAAATTTTGAAAGAGTCGAAGTCCTTGTTTGGAGACCACGAGAATGAAGCTAAAAAAAGAATAAAGTGGTTGAGAGCAGGAAGGCTCATGTTCACAACAATTATGAGTTCGTAAGAGAATGAGTTCATGAATATGAATGCTAAAGCTAAAAAAGTAATCACGAAATTTAAGTCTTCAGAAATGTTTCGCAGAATTAGCAGTGTTTTTGCCCGTGACTTTCAAGAGTGCAAAAGAAGCACCGCAAGTATTATCTTGCCTAGCCTTGGATAAAGTGTGTTTGCATCTAGGTGCTTTGAAAAGGTTGAAGAGAGTGCAAATAGGGACATGAAAGTCCTCATAATTAAGAACAAAACAAAGATTGTCTCTGATTGTACAACAAAGTATGCATGTTCATAATAGAAGTGGTCATAAGACACTTTAAATGAGAAAATAATTACAAGGCATGTAACAAAAAGTTTATTTTATTTTGAGATATGTCAATGATACACAACTAGAGCACAGGTTACAATGTCAGGCTTACTCAAAAGCTTTGCAACAAAAGCCCTGAATACACAGAACACAAAGTGCCCAACTCAGCAAATCAATGAAGGATCGAAAAATCGTTGCAATTGTTAAATTATTTATATGCATGCCCATTAAGACAGTAGACTATACACTTTACACTTTCAATCTACGAGCAAAACATGAGATCTTGAAGCTAACTGACTCAAATGAGCCTGTATACTTTACAGCAGTCCAAGAAAAAGAACACATAAGCCAGCGAGAATTCGCTGGTACATAGCACTACACAGACGTGTAAAGAAGTGCGACACATTTTCTAAATGTTCTAAATGAATCACCGACAAGTCACCCGCTCTTCATACGTATTTTTAAGGAGCCTTGCAACATTCCATATTTTCCAACAGACAACTTCTCAAATACCTCTAGTGTGAGAAAAGTTACCGACAACCAACGACTTGCCTTGCGATGCCTGCATGTTCTTTATGCCATCGCTGAGATTACCCCATATAGTCGAGCACAGAGCTGAGAACATCAACCTTAGGCTCTGAATGATCTACTTGCTTGCCTGCCATCGCACTTTAGTTTCAAACGTGAACCATTCCTCTGCCTCTTGGAGGCCAAGATGAAACGTGAGACCGCCAAGGCCACACGTTTTGAAGCCAATGCATACGCATGCACTACTGTGGCTTCACTACTTCATCGCTTCGCTCTCCGGTACGTTTGCTCAAGCGACAAAGATGCATGCCTCGAATTCACTGCACCTGCAATGACAATACGCAAGGTGAAGTTGAATGAATGGTGTTTTCTAAGGTTTGCATGTATGCCCATGTGACTTTCCACTGAAGGAGTGTTTGTTAATGACCTTGCTTATTGAACTAATGTATAATGTTGTTCATCGCATGACCATGATAATGTGCTATGCCATTATCAGCAGACATCAACTTGCAAGCGTTGCGAAATGTGAGACTTCACGTGTCGGTATGAATGTATCCCACTCAGCATCTCGATTTGGGTGCGCCATTGTTCCTAAAAAGCACCGGACAAAATTTAAGGGCTTTACTGAACTTCTTAAGCTAATAAACACTAACAACTTTTCAATAGTAAGGTAGAACTGAACATTCAAACAATATCCAAGGATACTCTCTTTCAATGCCTCCAATTATTTGTGGTGCGTGAAAAGCTGCCAACAGCTACGTCTCTGTGTAACTTTATAGGTATGCAAAGCTTGGCAGAGGTTTGGAAATACGAATGAGAAAGAAATTGCATTTTCATTTTATTTTTGTTTTAAATATAGCTGCTTCCTATCGCACCTACAGAAAAAAATTTTTTCATCTTCAGTATTCGTGACAGTACTCTGTAGCAACAAAAAAATGTTTATTTATAATATTTAAAAAAATGTTGTAAGGTCCCTTTTTACATTTTCAGTACCACTGCATATTAGATTAGTAAATGCTGCATATCTAGCTCCAAAGTTTTAGAACTCCTACGCTAAGTTGGAAGCTTATACATGTAACAAAAAGCAGGTACATTACACAATTCGAACCTAACCTCTCCACAAGCTATTGTATAAAACAAGGAGCAAGTTCTTTCCGCTATCTGAGATGCTCTTCAAAGTCAGCAATGTACAGTATAATTGAAAACACCGAGGGCATTATCAACATTTTCATTCACACAAGACGCTTCCTGAGCATTGCACCCAGCTACAAAATTTCTGTATTCAACCTAATTAATTTTATAGAATAACAAAAACAAACTACAAAATGCTACGTGAAAAGAAAGTAAACAGAAGGTATACCAGTTTGCTTATAGAAATTACAACCCCCCAAGTAGCCCATAATAATCAAGTTGTACACAAAGTCAATCATTCCGAATTAAGCCGCACCACGAACCTCCCAGATTAAACTAACATTACATGAACTTTCCATTTCAGTGAACACTTGTAGACGTCTTACTTAGATCATACACTCCTATA